ATCTGGAAAGGGGAATCATTTTGTGGGGTTAAGAGGAACAAGTTTCCAACATCGACTTTTTGCGGTCATTCTAGTGTACATACATAAGGCGGCTATCGCTATACATACATATATTTATAAGAATTCGAAATATATAAAAATCTTTAATGGCGTTGGAAAATTATTATTGTGGAAATTACAATGTTTAAAAATGTTTATTAATTAAAAATCTCCTTATTTTATAATTTGTTTCTCATTTGGAAAAAATTTTTTTATACTTGCCAATCAATTATATCAGAAACTTTGCACAAATCTTTATTGAGAATTTACGTGTAATTTTATTTAATTACAAACTAAAGTAGTACAACCAACGATAGTAAGAAAATATTCATAATTATCGCTAATTAAAGTATTATATGGTGTACTAATTCCGAAAACCATATCACCCATCAATTTTCAACATTTTCATCATTTAGATGTCGTGACAATATTCTTGTTGTCCAAATATTCGGCGTATTTGAAGTTTTTTATTGCCTATTTAAAGCGTTTCCCAGCAAATTATCAATCTGTAAAATTATCAGCATACCTTAAGGCAATAATATTTTAATGCATTATTTAAATACGAGTATGTGCAGTGATTTCAAATGTTAACAATTACATTCACCATTTATGGGGAATGTATGTAGTAACCCAGCAAAATAAAACGAAGTACTTCCAAAAGAATAACATTTAACACCACTTAAAAAAAAAGAGCATTAAAATTACTTCATGTGAATGACTTCAGAAGTAGTGAAATCCCTCCTATGACTAGCCTGTGTTTATCATCAAAATCATCACTTCTTCAGGTCTCTTTCAGTACATACTTCCATGGAGTAAATTCTACTTCTTTTTCGCTTATTCTCATATCATTAAATGTGTTTAACATATACATACATAAGTGTACATATACATACATATGTACATTAGAGTGATTCAAACTTGTATGAAGGAAAAACAATTTTGTCTGACAGGCCCCTCTAGAATTGTTCTATGGGTTGTAAAACTATGTCATACAAAAATTTAGGCTGATTGGATAACGTTAACAAGTTTTTTTTTTTGCTGGGAATTGTTCTAATATCATTAAATGTGTTTAACATATACATACATAAGTGTAGATATACATACATATGTACATTAGAGTGATTCAAACTTGTATAAAGGAAAACAAATTTTGTCTGAAAGGCCGTCCCCCCTCTAGAATTGTTCTATGGGTTGTAAAACTATGTCATACAAAAATTTAGGCTGATTGGATAACGTTAACAGGTGCCGCAACGGCTCTGAAGTTTCCAAGTGCATTTACAAGGGAAAAATATCGATTTTTTTCAGTTTTTGCTCAAATTTGACCATTTAGTAATAAATTTTGAATTTTATTGTAAAGGAATCGTAATGTGACCAGAGTAAGCATTTTGGATAGATATAAAACACAAAAATTGCTTGAAAACTTTAAAAGTTATAGCAAATTCTCCAGGCCATTAAAATTCAAAAAAGCATGAGGAATGCGTTGAAAAGATATTTGTATTAAAATAAAAGAAGATAGAGGCTATAGTTTTATCTGAGATACCGTACGTCTTACCTTAGAATGAACAATAGTCTATATATGTAGATCTTGATCGGCTGCCATGCCCCCTTTTCTAAGATTATATAAGATCTTTATTCCCTTTTATTTATAAAACAATTAAACAGGCCACAGTTGAAAAATTTTTTTACATAATTTATAATTTTTACTAATCCCAATATTATTTAATGTGCTGATTCTGAAAATGTCAATAAAATAGTCCTATCAACCAGCAATTTACGCGTATGTAAATTAATGTTGTTGCTATTAAACAGACAATAAAATTAGAAATCTGCAAAATTGTAAAAAATAGTGTGAACACAAAGAGTTCACACTATTTTTTCTTAAATGTGTTTTATATCTACATTCTATATTTTCATATTCAAAAACCTATATATTTTACAAAAATTACCTTAAAATCAACATATTTTTTTATAGTTTTCTCATTTTTAATAAAATTGTTCTTACTACTTTGGACACAAAACCAGCAAAGTATTTAAAATCCCATAATTGCTTTCGAGATATCGTCCATAATGATACCAATTTGTTTAATTATACCCTACATCACTTTAGTGGGGAGGGTATATTGGATTTGTGCTGATGTTTGTAACGCTCAATAATATTGGTCCTATATCTACCTTAAAGTATACCAATCGGCTTAGTATCATTTTCTGAGTCGATTTAGTTATGTCCGTCCGTCCATGTAAACCTTGTAATCAAACTACTACAGGTCGCAATTTTGAAGATAATTCAATGAAATTTGGCACATGACTTTCTATGATAGCGGAGACGAAAATGGTTAACATCGGTCCATTATTTCACCTAGCCCCCATACAACTGAACCCGCCGAATAGGGCTCTTAAGTTCATAATTATGTTTAATATACTCGTATCTAGACTAAAAGCTGCTAACTGTGAATATAGTCCCTCGATAATTTTTTTGGGAATATCATTCGAATACTCATTATTATAATCAAATACATTTCCAACTTTAAAATTGTAAATTTATTCAAATATAACAGTTCCTTTATAATTTAATTCAATTTAGTAATACCTTAAAGTATGTTATATAATGTAACACCTAGTAATGCCATAAAGTATACAATGAAGTATAACTCCTAACACAGTGTTACTTATAGTATGAGAATGTTACATATAAAATAGCGTGTATGTTACTGAAATATGTATGGAAATCAAGATCTGAAATGAAAGAAAGACTGAAAGAAAGAAAGACTGAAAGAAAGAAAGAAAGAAAGAAAGAAAGAAAGAAAGAGAAAAAGATATAAAGGAAAAACAAATTTCTACGGAGTTTTTTTCAATACAAAATTTCCTGTATTTTGCACAGACATAGAAAAATCGATTCAAAATGTTGTAAAGAACAAGAATATATCCCTCCGGAAAGACCCGAGTCATATTAGATTCAAGATTGTCAACTTAGCGTGAGCTGTATCAATCGACATTTTTCCCAAAGTAATAACTATCTGCTATAGTCGAACCGTTGTCATTTCGAAATGTTATTAATTGTCAGTAGGGGCTCCCATTCGGTCTGGGTTCCTGGGCTCGTACCTTATAATACAACATACACATACGTATCTAAGTAATTACTAGTAATTATATTTGGTGTACTTTTTGTCGATTTAGCGGTATCTCTGAATGTTTAATAAAATCAATTTTCTGAAGAACCTAGATATCCTCCAGAGTAATTTAATAATTTTTTCAGACATAATTTTAAGAAGTTAGCTAATTCGGTCCATAAATAATGGAGAAAGGAGACGGAATTCTTATCATTTCTACGCTATTTGTTTACCATGATTCTTCCAGAATTTTAAATAAATATCGTTTGTTATTTCTATATGTATAGATAATATAGTAAATTTTTATACCCACCATCAAAAACGATGGGGATATATTGATTTTGTCATTCCGTTTGTAACACAACGAAATATTGGTTATAGACCCACAAAAGTATATATATTTGGGGTCCTTATTAAATTTTAAGACGATCTAGCCATGTCCGTCTGTCTGTTGAAAGCACGTTAGAGTCCGAAGGTTAAAATTTTCCACAAATATAAGGTTTGTTTGGTATTGAAAATGGACAATATCGGTCCATGTTTTCGGATAGCCTCATATAAGTGGACCGGCGAAAAAACAGCTTTAAGGAGCATATATGTTTTAAAACTACGAGTATACCGATGAACTTCGACATTAATAAGTTTCATATGAGCCAAAATCTTCCTATTAAATTTTATGAGGATCGGTTCATAATTGACCCTACCCCCCATATAAGGTCCCCTTCAGAAAATGTCTTTAACGCTTGTTACAGGCTTAAAATACGATGAAATTTGCGATGAAATTTGACACACATAAGTTTCATGTGAGCCGAAATCTCTCTACCAAATTTTATGTGAATCGGTTCATAATTGACCTTACCTACCATATAAGGACCCCTTCAGAAAATTACTTAAATGCTCTGGCTTAAAAATACCAGCATGGCGATGCAATTTGACATTAATAAGTTTTGTATGAGTCAAAATGTCCCTACCAAATTTTATGATCAGTAATTGACCATATCCCCCATATAAGGTCCCCTTCAGAAAATTACTATAATGCTCATTAATGGCTTAAAAAAACGAATGTAGCGATGAAATTCGACTCAAGTAAGTTCCTTACGAGCCAAAATCTCTTAACGAACCGAAATCTTTGTTTCTTCAATAGAATTCAATGAAGACTAAAATTTTATGTAAAAAACTAATAATCTTAAATAATGGTCCACTTTCTTTTCGTACACACTGTAAATGCAAACTTTTACTCTATTACACAAACACTAACGCTAATAAAACATAGTTACGTGTTGAAATGCGTTAATTTCACACAGATACACATGGTTAGAAATATTTATTTATAATACCAGGGAGAAATTAAAATATAATGAATCGTGAAATGATTCCAATTAGGACGTGCGTGGATGTGTGAATATTGTCATTGACTCATAAAGTCAATACGTCAAACGTAAATTGATATTTTATTGGACCATGTCAATAGATTAATCGTTTTGTGGTCGTTAACTAAATATTGCTAAGGCTTTAAGGGTGAAAATCTTAATTAAGTAATTATACCTAAATATAAAGGTAGAGAAATTTGATGTTTTTTAGTATATTTTATTGAAAAAGAGAAAAATGTATAAATTGTATGTTTATTAATTTGTTTTATACTCATTAACCTCAAATTAAGTGAATATTTTGTTTATTAATTAGTGAGGTATATACTTCCCTATATAAAATCTGTATACATAAAATATCGGTGGTAATATTCAAATGTATTACCATAGATATTTTATGTATACCGATATTAAGGGATATTTTTTTCAAAACATCAGATAATTGACATAAAAACTGTATTATTACTAATTTTAAAAATAAATTTGACAGTTACCAGCTGCCAACGAATGATCACCGAAATGCAATTTAATATCACATCTATATTTAAACGGATTATTTTAGCTTGTCAGCTAGTTCTATGTGGGATATTGTTCTAATATTTTTTATTAAATTTTTTGCTGATGCCAAATTTCCAGTTTGTAATTTTTTATTAAAAACATCTTGTTATTTTTTTTTAATAAATATCAAATTTTTATTCTTTTGCTTTCTTTTTTTCATGTTTTTTTTGGGTTTTTTACAATAAATAAATTATTAAAATTACAAAAATAAATAAATTAAACTCAACTAAGTGTAAACAAAAGTTGCATATAAAAACTTCACATTTTTATAAATAAAAATTATAAAAATATATTCTTTGGAATTGACCCGGCCTAAATATATGAGTTCTGAAGTCAACAAAGTGAAATGGAAAAGGATCAACTAATAAATTGGAAAAGAAACAACTAGAAGGTGGTAATTTAAATTTCCGCTTCTATAAATTTCATTCCAATTTAAAATCAATCATTTGCCAGAAATGAATGAACATGAACGGAAAAAACAATGACCTAGAGATGTCATCTGTTGTTGAACCTTTTTTCCATAATTTAAAATTTGTTCTTTTTGGCCAGTTACTCGTATACTTAAACTTGTTAGAGGTTGTCGTTGTTGTTTTAAGAAGCTTTTACATATTCTTTTGTTCTTGTTTTGTTTTCCTTGTTATGTATAACGGAGTAGGAAAGGGGAAAGTAGGGAGGTAAGGTAGGGGGCTTTATGTTGTTTTTTTTGGTATGTTACTAAAACTTAATTGTAAGCACTGTAGGCCAAGTTTTGGGCGGAGGGATTTGATTCGAATTGTTCTACGCTGGCAATAGAACTGACAGAACGTCCATCCCATGGACCATGGGAGGTGATGTGGGCAGAGTGATGGTGTTCAGCGGCAATCTAAAAATATAAACATTGACTCAGTAAAAGTGGTAAATGCAATGCAAACGTTTAACTAAAAGGAAAGGTTTAGGTGATGAATATAGAGCAGGAGTGAAGAATTAAATGAGCGTCAAAACATTTTGGAAGAGTAAATAAATTGATGTAGATTTTCAGACTGATGATTAAAGGTGGGGGTAGGGATTTAGCAGGCAAATCTTACCCTTGATTTATGTATGCTTTAGTCTTTGGTATGTTTATAATAACGTTTAAAATTACAATCTCTCACTTATGTTTTAACGCCATTTCTCCACTTTAGCTCTCTTCGCTTTATTTATCACCCTTCTAACATCCAAATATTGCCTAAAAATAGACATAGTTTTTTGTTTGTTTAATTGTTGTACAACTTACCTTCTTGCACAATTGGAAAATGGCCAAACCAACCGAAACAATGAAAGAGAAGAAACCCAAACCCAAAGCGTTCAAAGCCTTAATCTTCAAGATACCAATAGCCATGGGGATGATGGTGATAGCCTTCAACAAGATCAAGACCATAATGGGCATGGCCATTTTACGCAAACGATGTTTCTTGCCTTTAAAATGAATTGAAATGATATGATATGATAAACAATTGATGGGAAATGCGACAAACGAGAACAGAAATACAAGTTATTAGTTATTATTAGTGTTAGTTCATTATAGGACAAAGTCTAGCATGCAACACACCCTTCTTGAAGATGTTTCCCTTCTTACCCTTGCCTTCGACGACACCCTCACCCGCAAATTTGACATTAAGACTTAATTCATCGTTTTTCAAATTACGGGATGAGACAGTGACTTTGGCATCAGCCATAGGCAAGTCCATGGTAACGTCATGACCTTGGATATAGTTTTCAATAGCATCAAAGAAGTCACCACTGCTGGATCTACCTTCAACCGATGTAGGAGCTTGATAACCATTTGATTTAACCTCAACATTGGAGATCTGAAGATCATAAATGATATTAAAATTATTTTCAAACTATTTAAAATTTATCTCAGCTTTCACTCACCTTGAAATCTTCTTTAGTCATAACGGTATCCAAAAATCTCATAGCTCTTACTTTCACGCAGGCCATGCTGTCACTGCCACTTTCACATTTGGCATTTTCTTCATCGATCATGCTCTCCATGTTGATGGCATGACAGATGGTGGAGAAGCCCAATAGGGCAATGAGGACTAAGTGTTTGGAGGAAACCATTGTGTGTATTAAATCCCTTCGTTTCACTACTTTTCTCTACTCTGTCTCTGTTAATTTTGCTCCAAGACCCGTGCTTGTGGTCTGTATGAATTAACAATTGCAAATAATAATTAAATTTCTATTGTTCACGTTTTTTATACTAAGCATTAACCAAAAAACTATAGTATACAATATACAAAAAAGTTTTTTGAAAAAAAAATCAATCGATTTCAATAACAACAAATTACACTAAAATACAACATTGTCAATGGTGGATGAGTACTTAAGCGCAGAGGTAGTGTGTGGCCGGCCAATTGAAATGACAGACATAACCCTGTATAAAATCATGCAACAACAGCAACAATAGCAGCAATTACAACAATAATGATTACACCTGCAATATCTGCCTTTTTCAAATAACTAACTCACTCACACGATCGTTCGTTTGCTCGCTACGGCTACTCTATTTGCCAGCCATTGTCCATCGTTGGTATTTCTTTTGAGAAATTGTCTCAAAAAAGAGAGTCAGCCAATTGTTATTGGTTTTTAAGCCTTTTTTTTTAATGACCAAAGTACCTAAAAATGTAAAAAAAAATATTTAAATTCATTCATGTTTTTCTTTTGTTTGTCTTATTTAAGTCGTTTGAGCAGTTGCCTCTTTTAGTTTTGTTTTTGTCATCCTATTTAGATTTTTCTCACGTTTCATTATTATTGATGTGTACAAAATGTTATTTTGAACAAATTAACCGGTAGCTATATTAAAAAAAAATAAAGTTTTACTTTTGTTACGAATATGGTATAATACTTAATAGTTAATTATTGATAATATTTTTTTATAGATTCATTAATGTGGAAAAGACAAATAAGGAAATATCTTTTAGCTGGTGAAATAGCAGACAAATATGTTTTACAAAAGGGAGAGAAGCATTTGAGATTCGATATAAATAATAACAGCTTTAGCTTTTGATTAGATTAAGAAGTTTATTTTGTAAATCCCCTATAATGTAACAGCTATGCAGGTATATCTTCAATCTCCAGTGTCTTTGTTTCTCTAGCATATTTCGTTGTAGTTTTAAAAAGACTTTCGATTCTAGAGAAATTATATAATCAGAAAATTAGACCTGTAAGTAAGGCTCTAACAAATCTTTCAAAGTGTGCAATTGGTCCTGTAGTTAACAAAATCTATAAATTTAAAAAATATAAAAATAAAGCGTTACATATGCTCTAAAAACTCGAAATATGCTATTAAAATCAAATCATTCAAAAATTTGATCTTAAGGTAAATATATGACTCCATATGTAGCACCATAAAAATATTTGCATATTTTGCACACCCTGATGAGAAGAATGGAGAAGAATCTAAATCAACCTAGCAAAAACTACCATAACCATGTTAGGAGTTTAAATGATAACTTTTACTTAGCATTTTAAGTCAAAACGTTAACACTGGAACGTCATTGGAGGCAAGTACTTACCACAAACGCTTACAAGTAATTAAAAAATTCAGTGAATGTTAATCGTATAAAAAACGTATACATTTAGAATGTAATTATATAACACATTATTAATAAGACGTGTCAGACGTGTGTGTGTCTGTCCAATGGGCTACATTTTTAAAAATTAAATTATGTTTGTCTGTTAAAGCAGGCTAGTGGCCCCACAGAATTTACTTACTTAATACCTGGCGAAATTCGTCATAAAAAAGTTCCATCCATAACCCAGTGGATATTAAATATCCTATTCCGAATATATTTCTGACGTCTACATTAATTTGGAATAATAATAATATTCAGCACATATCAAATATATGAGAAGACCTTCTGAAATGCATATTAATTTCGCGGGTCATAAGATGATATAAGATTCAGCATATCCGAATATTGTTTTCTTTCGAATCGAAATAGGGAGTAACGCAGGTGTCTGCTTTCTTAGAAATTTACCATATGTACTACAGAGCTGACTTGGATCTTCGGGATACGATTGCGTCATTTAAGCTTACAAAATAGTTGTTAGCTTCATTATGACAGGATGATACCAAATTAGGAATACAATCTGGTGAGATTAACGTTTCATCGACTCGCTATGACGTATAATATAAGAGTACCTGGAGAATTCAATCCGACGAGATATATGGTTTCACTCAAGTTAGATAACAAAGAATAACTACCCAGCAAAAAAGTGAGGAAAAATATGAAGAATTGTCACTAAAACAACATACTGGAAGTACTTCCAATTTCCTCATTATTATCTATAGGTTTATATTTAAAGGAATTCTTGGAATGTATATGCGAATAATGTGTAATCGCATTTTTAGAAGTGAGATGTCGCTTATAAATTATGACTTTCATTATTTTTGTTGCATATGGTTTCATTAGTCGACTAAATACAAATAATTGGCTAATACTAAGGAATGCGCTAGATACATTTTTCTGACACAAATTCGGGGTTTTGAGACAAATTTACGAATAAATAAGTTTTCGAAATGTATTTGCACTTTGTTTGAAGTCGAGGTGCCACGCCCACATATACAATCCATAAATTTTTCTTGGTAAATTTTTACATTCTGTCATTAGTCATTTTTATTTTCATTAAGGCATTTTGGCCATTTAAAAATTCAGCGATAAACCATCTAAATTTAATAAATTTATTGACTTTATGCAATTCTAAGATGACTGAGCTTGGTTTTTTAAAGCACAGAGTCAAATACAAAGCCCAAAAGTGGAATAAATTTTTCAGAAGAAAACTATTTTAATAACTTTCATTGAGAAAATAAGCTCGACTTGTAATCCCTCATATTTCTGAAAAATAAATCAACTGGGAAAATTCAAAAAACATAAAATCGTAAATAACTTCATATTTAGCCGAAAATAGTGTGAAAATAATCTCGATTTATGATCACTCATATTTCTTACCAAAGAGCATAACTCCAATTTGTCTGTTTTTCATGTAAAATTTGAAGATTCTGGCTTTGGTGGTTTCTCAGATATACGAATTTTTATATTAAATTCATATGGGGGCTCTAAGGCCAACAGATAAAAGTCCGCCCTTTTCTCTCCAAAATGTTCAGATGAATAATAAAATTGTTTGTGCAAAATTTGAAGAATTTAGTTCTATTAGTTTCCCAGATGGGAGATGCCGCTTCCCTCTTTAATAGTCAGCCAATTTATTAACCAAAATCAGGCCCTCTGCTGCTAGTCCGCCTATTTTTTGTGTTAAATAATCATATTAACACTAAATATTTTCTTAATATGGGCGTGTCTCCTCGCCTATAGCATATTGCTGACATACAGGAATACTCTGTCAAAATTTCAAATTTCGGTTCAGCCGTTTCGAAGTTTATAAACTTCAAATATACAAACACACATTCATTTTTATATACATAATTTATATAGATTAGATAGGTAATGTTTTAATCGTCACCTTGTACGGTTAATTAAGTTAGAATATAATCCCAGCAAAAACTTAGTAATGGCTTTCTGTTGTAACCACTTACCTATTAACCTACGCTTTTCAAATTCATTTGTATTTTTCTCCGTGAAGGGTTAAAAGTTGATTTTTGATACGATTTACATTGACTAATTTTTCTAATTACTTGTAAGCGATTGCGGTAAGTACTTGACTCCAATGACATCACCGTATTAAAATAATGACTTGACTTAAAGTGATTGATTAACAAATGTTTATTTTATAAACGGTTTATAAATCATATTTTGAATGGAAATTTTGTTTTATAAACCTTTTATAAAATAAAATATTATTTATGAATATGGCGACTATTGTATAAACAAATTTTAAGCATTTTAACATCATCAGGAAAAAAGTATTTCGCGGTATTACTCTGGGTTAACACGATTAATAGCCTCCTAAGGACCCTAACCAAGAAAGGACCTGTCTGCTATACAGACAATGTCGTAATACTTTTAAAGGGAAATAATCCAAATTACTTATGTAGAAGAGCTGAAGAGGCTCTGAATACGGCCTTGAGCCGAGAGGCCTCAATGTTAACTCGGCAAAAACGGAAATCTGACTTTTCACAAGAAAGACAAAAATTTCTACGTATACTGAACCTTGCTTCCTGGGCAAGAAGATACCAGTGACAGACAAAGTTAAGTACTTAGGTGTAATCCTCGAGGATCAACAAGGCACATCGGTGCTGGGCGATATGTAGGAGAACTATAGGCATGAAATGCCTACTATGACAAATTGGCCAATTCTAGCTTATATTTTAACTATCTGGTAGACTGCTTAAGACAAAAAGCGGAATATCAAACTACTACAGGCTATAAGTGGTGCCATTTGTACTACTTCAATCAAGACTCTGGAAACGTTGCCGAATGGCTCTTTACTTTAGGCGAACTGACCAAAAGCGGTTATAGGACACATCATCAATGTATACTGAACATATTGGAAGGTTATACACAATCATCGGGCGTGCCTGATCATATACCAGACACAGAATATGTTGGAAACTTTGAAACGCTGATCCCAGATAGAATGTCTTGGTCAAGCGGAATATTAAAGCAAATACCAGTAGGAATCCGTTGTTACACTCATGGCTCTAAATTGGGGGACAAAGTTGGGCTGTGGTTCTATATTGAATACCAAGAAACAGAAATATACCACCGTTTACCAAATCTTAACACAAGTTTCCAGACAGAAGTACGAGCAATAACGGAATGCGTAAATTGCATTAGAATAAATATGGCGCCCACAGCGCTTAATATATTTACCGACAGCAATATCAGGAGATAGAATTAAATCTAAGACCGTTTTGGATTGTAAGAAAGCTTTAACTGAATACTCTCCCAGAGGTAAGGTTTACACCAGCCCACTCGGGAGTAGTCGGCAACGAAAGGGCGAATGTAATAGCTTTAAAGGGAAGGGAGCTCGAGGCAGTTAACTCGACGCAACAAAAGATGAACTAAAAACAAGTAAGAAAGTATAGTCGGGCGTGGCCGACCATATGATACCCTACACCAGTTATGAATATTAAATGTGATTTATTTTTCATAATAAAGCATTTATCTTCAATATTCCCTTGTTCCGATACATTTAAGCAATTTATGGATGAAAAACTAATTTTCTGAAAGAGGCTTTATATGGGGGCTAGGGGCAAATATGGA